AAAAAAACTCCGGCGATGCTATGGGTATCTTAAATCAAACATAACTGTACAAAAAGCAAGTCGACGCCCCTGATGTCCATCCACTGTGGACGTAGAAGAAGACACTGCAGGCACTTTAGAGACACTTTTCTATCTCTGTCGTGTAGAGCTTGATATGAGACTCCATCTTCAGGTACTCATCGTGTGCTCGATGAATTTCATCTTCGATCGTCTCCTTCAAGTCCGCCATCTACCAAGTTTTGTTAGTCAATGGCCACCATGCAGGGGGGGGGGGAAGATGATTGATAGCAGATAAACACTGTATATATTTATAGAACAGCCGATAGAGCTAGATATAAATATAGAAATAAAGCAAGCAAAATGACGTACCTTCTTCTCGGTCTGCTCGATGCGGATGCGCCTACGCTCCATCTCGCGCTGCTTCTCAGCCCGCTCCTCGCGCAGCTGCTTCTGCACCGAGTGCAGCTCTTCCATGCGAGCCTGGGCCTGCTCGGCCTTTTCCCTGCTGCTCTTGCGCAGGGCCTCTATGCGTTCCTGCCAGCGGGCCAGCTGCGACTGGAGCAGCTTCTCGGTGTGCGCGACCTGTCTGACGGTGTTGCCTCGCTCGGCGAGGGCCTCTCTGTTCTTGATGCCCTTGGACTCCTGGTCGTCCTCTTTTTGTAACTCTACCAAAATATCTTCTAGCAGCTTGATGGAGCTCTGGACTTCATTATTGACAACGGTAAAGGTGTTCATCGATGTCTGCAGGGCACGCATTCTCCTCTCCATGCCGTCTACTTGGGATTTATCATGAGCGAGATTGTCGGACAGTTCCGTGAGGGCTGACTGTAGGCTTTCGGGGCTCTGGGAGACATAGGGGCGTAGCTTCTCGCACTCCTGGCGACTCTTCAACAGCTTCTCTGTCTTTTCTTCCAGCAGTGTCTGCTTCCTTGCCTTTTCCCCCTTCACCCTCTCAAACGTCTCTGCCACCCGTTCCTGATCCCGCCTCAGCTCTAGCAGCCGGGTCTTCAGCTCGTCGTTCCGGCTCGTCTTTTCCCGCACCACCCCGTCCATTTCCTTCTGCTGTCTCTTCATCTCCTCCAGCCGCTGCTCCAGCTCTTGGTTCTCTGCGTAGAGAGTCTCGATGCGCATCTTGGTGTCCTCCGACTTGTTGAAGTGCGCGTCAATTGCCGAGGTCTGCGACTCTCGGAAGCGGACGAAGTTGATCAGGTAGGAGAATATCTTTGCGATGCGGTCGTACGTCGGCCTGGTGATGTCTGTAAACGTGAAGTCGTGAACTCCACACTGCACACTGTTAACACACTCTCTCCCTCTCTCTGTATATACAAGTATCATAAGCAAAGACTACGAACCTGCAGCATCAGCTTCCGCAAGGAGACAAGGAAGCCCATCAGATTCCGCGTATCTGGGGGAAAGATGTCTGCCTGGTCTCCGGCAATGTCTTCTGCAGCGGCGAGCATGGCGGGCTCCACGGTCTCTCGCGTGGTGTTCATAAACAGCTCTGCAAACCACTCGAACACCATCTGGACCTGCTGCGGGTTTGGCTTGAGGAGGTCCGCCATGGTGAAGGGAATGCCGATATCGTTGATGCAGCCCGCAATGACCTTGTCCGGCTATACACCTGTAAGTAACAGCTATCTGCAGCCGGCATTGGGGACACTCACGAGGCGCAAGAAGGCGTCTGTCTCGCTCTCCTTCTTCTGCTGGCGGTGCTGCTGCTGCTGCCCGCCGCGGTACTGCGTCGTCCGCGAGTTGTACGCCATGGCTCGTCTCTGCGTGTATAATATATATAGTGTCTCCCGTCTCTTCCAGTCCAGCTCCGCGTCTCGTCTCGACTTCTTCTCGGCTTCTTCGTCTTTTCTTAAAATGATATAAAAATGTCCAAAACTCTCTTCTTCGAGCCGCATTTTTTGTTTACATGATAAGCAACTTTCCCGAAGCGGACTAGTGGCTGCAAACTGGCCAAACATGCTCTTTCGGGCAATTCAGACCTAAAGAGTCACCAAAAGTCGAAAAGTCGAAGAAAGACAAGAAGAAGAAAAGAACAAACAGCAGGAAGACAGCAGGAGGATAACAGGAAGATAGCTGGATAGCTGGATATCAGGACGGTTTGAGGCCAGCGACTGCGAGAGAGACCGCGAGGGATACCCCCGATAGCAAACGACCGGCGGCAGACAACACTGACTGCGGCCAGAGCTGCCCCGCGGTTTGCTTGACAGCTCCAGGATTGCATATAAAGAACTACCAGACACCAGGAACCAGCAGCTAGCAGCCAGAGAAAGACTGAGATACACCAGATTGGCTGCTTTACTACGCGTCAAGATGTCACCGGCCCTGGAGACCCCTTCAAGCGGGGACAAGGAGCCCTTTGAGTGAGTAGAGGACTGTCACTTATACCTATACACATATCATCTAATGGCGGGTTACGAGTATGACTATGTACTGACAGAAGACAGCATTGTAGAGACATATCACAAGCTACTACGGACAGACCCAGACCTGACGATGCCCATAGCTGCCATTGAGGCGCTGGTGCTGCTACTGACACACTCACCGTCCTCGACCATCTCCGAGACGCTGGACCTGCTCAACAAACACACGGAGCACCTGAAGCGCTCGATCCCGAACCCGATCGGCCTCTCTGCCGGCACCGACCTGTTCCAGCGGTACCTGATATCGACGCTGCAGCGACCCGGCAAGCTGGGACCGGCGGGGGACTTTGACGCGATACGCGCCCACCTGCTCTCGAACGGGCGGCTGTTCATCCAGCGAGCCAAGGAGAGCAGAGACAAGATCGCCGCGTTCGCAACGGGTTTCGTACGAGACGGCAGCACGGTGATGACCAACGGCGGGTCCCGGGCTGTGGGAGCGATGCTGCGCAAGGCGGCGGGCGAAGAGGTGCGGTTCCGGGTGATATATGTGCTGCCGAACGGCCATAGCGATGAAGAAGCCACGACGGCAGCGGGGACGGTGCCCGAGGGGATGGAGACGGTGGCAGTGCTGCGGTCGAAGGGAGTGCCTGTGGCTACGGTGCCGGAGTCAGCTGTGGCGTACTCGATGGGGATGGTGGACACGGTGATAGTCGGCGCGGAAGGGGTGGTTGAGAACGGCGGCATAATATCGCGGATGGGCACGTACCAGATGGGCCTGCTGGCGAAGGCAATGGGCAAGCCCTTCTATGTTGTGGCGGAGAGCCACAAGTTTGTGAGACTGTTCCCACTTGGCCAGTACGATCTTCCCGTTGATCAGCGGGTTATCGAGTTCACGACGACGACCACTACTACTACCGAGAGTAGCAGCAACAGCGGCAGCTCGACTTCGCCGAAGGACCGCCGCCGGACTGCGCCTGATATCGTGGACTACACTCCCCCACACCTGATCACGGCGCTGATCACGGAAGCAGGCGTGCTCACTCCGAGTGCCGTCAGCGAGGAACTCATCAAGATCTGGTTTTGAGTTGACCAGCTGTAACTATTATCCAGCCATCAACTATGGTTGTTTTTTTATCTATTATGACTGTGGCCGAGCCTCGATATCAACCATGGCGCCGGGATCAACAGATCAGCGCCGGGAACCTGACAGGCTGCACTCTGTGAACTATCGCGTTACACCGGGAGAAACGTGGAACGGAAGAAGGGAAGCTTGGAAGAGAAAGAAGACGCAGGGCGAGGGCAGAGCCGGGCTGTATCGTGACACCGAGCAGTGGAATCGATAATTCGGCCCTCTTTTTTTCTTATTTTTCACTTTCCCAGGCACGGCCAGGCCAGGACCGAATCTACTATTTACTATCTGTATCTTAGCTGCTATCCTAGCTATGAGAAATGACTTCATCGGCTGCCCATGATCTACCGCTAAGGGGAGACTAGCAAGCCGAGCTAGCAGGGACAGGGGGAGCTCCAGCAAGCCAGGCCAGCCCACCGGATAACCAAGTAATCGCAGTAACAACCAGCAAGCAAGCAAGAAAACGAGAAGAAAGAAGAAGAAGAAGAAGAAAGAAGAAGAAGAAGAAGAAGAAGCAAGAAGCAAGATGGATGACCCTCGAACAGGCCAGCCGTTCCCACCGTCGACCATCCAGCGCGTCCTGTACAGCTGCAGCGCCGTCCACGTCTACGCCCTGCCGCCGCTGACCTCGATGAAGGGCTACCTGGCCGCCAGCTGGACCAGCAACAGCGCCTCCGAGATCTTCGCCGGCCGTCTTCGAGTGCTTGAGAGTGCAGTCCCAGTCAAAGTGCCGCCGGCATCAAGACCAGCCACGGCCCTTCGAACCCCCAACCGGCCCCTTGCCCTGCCCGAGGAGGAACCAGACCTACAACCAGAGGCAAAAGAAGAAGAAGAAGAAGAAGAACAACGGCTGCAGGTCGACATCCTGCTGGAAGAAGCCGGGGGAGCCCACGAGCTGTTTGCTGCGGCGCCGTACGTGGATGCCGGCGTGGTCGAGCAGACGCTGGACTCGAGTCGCTTCTTTGCGCTGCGGGTGGAAGGCGAGGGCAAGAAGGCAGTGCTAGGACTGGGCTTCGAGGAGCGAAGCGAAGCCTTTGACTTCTCCGTCGCCCTGCAGGAGGCGAGGAAGATTCTCTCCTTGTCTGCCTCTGTGGCTTCGTCTGCGGCTTCTGGTGGTGATGCCGGAAGGGACCTGAGTCTGCGGCCGGGAGAGAGCATCTCGGTCTCAGCACAGCCAAAGACAGCATCAGAAGAGGCCAGAGAAGACGAAGAAGAAGAAGACAGAGAAGAAGAGAAGCAGGAGAAGCAGAAGAAGGCCCTTTTCTCGCTTCCTCCGCCGCCGCCAGCTTCGTCTTCTTCCTCCCGTCGACGGCCTCCTGCGTCCTCGAGTTCTCCTGCAATAATATAATATAGATGTAACAGACAGCGCGATGCCAGTCCTGTAGCCTTAATAGCAGTTACATATAGCAGATCTTATAGTCTCCTCCTTGCATCTTAATCCTCCTATTAATCCTTCTATTAATCCTCCTTATATAGTCTTCTCCAAAGTCTTCGCTGTGATGAAACGGCTGGCCGGCCTGCAGCTCCCAGACAGCCAGCGTTTAAGGCTTCACAACCACCAGCTCTAGCATCTCAAGCGTTGTATATTAGCATCTTCTTCTTCTTCTTCTTCTTCATCATCTTCTTCTTTATTATTATCATCTTCTACTTCTACTTCTTCTTCATCTTCCGGCCTTATGTTCTTCCGCAGCTTCACCAAAAGCAAAGAAAAAAGCCAGGAACACAAAAAACCGCCTTCTTTTCTTCTTTTCTTCTTTTACTTCTTCTTCTTCTTCTTCTTCTTCTTCTTCTTCCGCTGCTCAGCCAGACAGGACAGTCTCAGTCTCTCTCTTCTTCTTCTTCCTCTCCCTCCTCATCCTCATCCTCATCCTCTCCTCCTCCTGTCTTTCATCTTCTCCCGTCTTGTCTCCTTCTCCCTGAGATGTCTCTCGCCGCTCGCTTCTGACCCGTCCCGGCTCAGCTCCAGCCTACCACGTCACCGATCAACCGCCCTCCCCAAGAAGCCTCTCCCTCTCCCGGCCTGACGCCTGAAGACGCCTGACCTTGAGCCCGACGCCGAGTCGGCCGGGGGCGTCACGGCCTCGCTCAGGCTCCCTTCGTCTCCTTCTTGTCCTCCCTCTCTAGCTGTCCCGTCCTGCCAATTGAGAAGTCCTGGACTCGCCGTCGCGTCATGGCTCTCTGGCCCTTTGGCCGTCACAAGAAGCGGGCTCGCAAGGGCGACGACGAGGCCACCACCACCACTAATACTACTACTACTGCTACTACGGCAGCAGTACAGCAGCCCCAGACCCCTCCAGCTCAGACAGAGACGGCCACGAAGGCGGCCACGACTGGCGGACACCATGGACACGGCGGCCTCTCTGCTGGCAAGCTTGTCCGGCGAGACAGCAAGCGTCAGAAGTACAGCGCCGTCTCCCCGGCAGCCGCAGCAGCCGCAGCAACGACAACAACGACAGCGACATCCTCCCCCGCGACCCCGGCGACCGCTGCCACTGCTGACTCTCCCATGACCCTGCCCGCCGGTCGAGCTCTGCGGCAACCCACTTCTGTCGACACTTTTGCCTCCGTCAATGCTCTCGTCCCGTCCAAGCTCCGCCAGGCTGAGCAACCGCACATCCAAAACGCTGCCATGCCGTCTCACCTTCACCCGTCTCAGGTCCAGGGTGAAGGCTCCTCCTCCTTCTCCTCTGCCTACCCTGTCCCGACGCTCCACCATGGCAAGAGATATCTCTCCGAGCCCACCTCTATCCTCCGCCGTCGCTCGGAGAGACGCAGACGCATCGATCCCGAGCGCGAACTCGAGATCAAGCGCATGGGCAGTCTTGTCTGGGAACACCCCAAGCGCAGCAGTGCTGCCACAACCACCAACAGCAACAATGTCAACAACAACAACAGCAACAACAAGGACAACACTTCCAACAAGGACAAGCATCTCTCTGACCCATTCACCCCGTCTTCCACTGCTGCCAATGCTGCTGCTTCTTCCACCACCTTCGATCAGGCTGAGCCTCCATCACACACCTTCAAGCTCAGTGCTCTCAATGCCTTGTCTCCTCGCCCATTCCTTCGCTATGCCTCCTCAGACGGGAACCGCAGCTCTCTCCCTGCCACTGCTGACATCTCACGATCTTCTACCACCAGAGACAAGGCTAAACCACGATGGTTCTCTGCCGACCAGGCCGCCGCTACTGCCGGCAGTAGTAAGAAGATTAACGAGCTAGCTGACACCATGGACGCCGGAGCCCTGCGCCAGCTCATGGACCGTGACAGACGACGCAGACTCGTCAAGCGTCAGATCCTCAGAGAACAGCAGCAGCAACAACAACAGCAGCAGCAGCAGGCCTCTGCGGTTGCTCGTCAGGCAGACAAACCCGTTGAACAGAAGGATCAAGTGTCGCAACCAGAAGAGCCACAGTCAGAGGTAGACACCCAGACACAGTCACAAACACAGCCGCTTGAGAAAATAGTCAGTGCTGGAACTGCTAGCTTTCCTTCTTCGTCTCCAGACCCGATGGACGTTTCCAAGCCTCAGTCACAGCAGCAATCTCTCGAACCAGCCCAGTCGTGGCTCCAAGACGCTTCAAAGGAAAGCCTGATCAAGGAAGACCGCGTTCAGACTGCCCAACGAAAGATAGAAGAAGAAGCAGAACCAGAAGTGGGAGAACATCAAGGCCCAGCTGCCCCATTAGCCACTGTCCTCTCACGCAATGGACAGCCCATTGAACTTGCTATTCCGGCAGACGAGCGCAGAGATGAGATTCCAGACATCCGCCAGCATCCTGCATTCCGCCAGCCTTCCGTCTCCGAGACGTCTGCCTCTGCTTCTGCATCTGTCTCTGCATCAGCCTCGACCAAACCAAGCACCATGCTCAACGAGACCAAACTAGGCCGGACCTGGACCCAGCTCTTCCGTCGTAGAGGCACCCTTCGTCGCAAACCCAACCGCAACATCCTGCCCAAGAATGGCTCCTCTGAATTCTCCGTCACGTCTCGCACCCATCCGTACGTCAATCCCGGTGCTATCCCTGGAGCCGGTGCTGTTACTTCACCTCCCATTGCTATTGCCGCGACTGCTTCCTCCCACCGCGTGGGAACTGATACCCAGTCCATCACATCCAAGTTCACTGAGCACCTTGACGATGGCTCTGCTTCGGGCTCTGCAATCCAGCTGTCGACATCTGCACCAGGAGGACCTCGCATGTACTCGCCCGAGCCACTGTACAATCTCCACCGTGAAGACTCGTACTCCGTCTCCGTTGCACCCTCGCAGCGTACGAGTGGTGCCGAAAAGTACAGCATCAGTGGCATCTCGGCCGGCGGGGCTGGTACTGGAACTGGAGCAGGAACCTACATGTCCGGTCCAGATACCCGACCCAACAGCACCTTTCTGGCGCAGTCCCTGGCTTCCATCGACTCGGAGGGCAGCTGGCTCTCTGGCCGTCCATCCCGGCGTCTCTCCCAAGCACCACTCAAGAGCCCCGGATCAACTCGCGAACGCCTGAACGACGATGTCAGCCCCATCATTGACCCGGATCTGGAAGACGACAACGCCATCAGCAGCGACGAGTACTTTGGCGCTCTCCCCGTGCCCAAAGAAGAGGAAGAAGAAGACACGGTTCCAAAACACGGTCTCAACATCACCACCTCGAATGACTCTGCCATCATCAACCCTGCCGTCAACGGCTACAACGACGAACCCGATGCTGCTGAAATTAGTCCCCTTCCCGAAGACGCTGACGATGGCATGGCCTTAGCCAACGCCGATGGTGACCCGCCAACCTGGCACTCCAGCGTCGGTAAACAGCCCCGTCTGATCAACCCCGAAAACCGCGCAAAGTCCCGCGAAGGCCTGTTCACCGAGTTCATCGACAGCGAGAACGAAGTCAGCCCCATCGACGAGCCAGAGGGTGTAACTGAGATCCGTCGAGCCCAGAGCGTCGATCTAGGCCGTCATATCCGCCACATCAGCGCCGGCAGCGCAAAACTGGTCACCTTGTCCCGTGCTGAGTCGAGCGGCAAACGACACAGCAACATCTCTCAGAGCAGCTCCGGCGTCTTTCCCACCCGGACTGACGACGATATTTAACCCTTTCGTTTGAACCACACTTTGAACCTCACTCTGACTTGATTTTCTTTCCTTTCCCCCTTTTTTTTGCCTCTTTCATATGTCACGCATGCATGCATAACTCCCATATTCCCACATTTCCATTACTCGTCCAGCCCATTTATTACTCGCAAGCGTGTTTTCTCATACCCCGGTTGTTCAAAAATACACCATGTATCGCTTAATCTTCTTTTTCTTCCCAATCTTCCTTGTTCTTTTCTCTGGATCGGAATGGACTGGCTGGCTGGCGGACTGGACGGACGGACGGAATGGTTTCCCAAAGACGGTCGAGGTCACGTTAAAAAAGAAACGCCCTTTTAATCTCTGCCTTTGTTTTCTTCTTCTTCTTCTTCTTCCACCTCTCTTTTTTTCATGTCCTTTTTTTCATGACTGCATAACATACCCCCTAAAGTTTTCTTCCTTTCTTTCCCTTTTCTTCCACTTCAACTTCTTCTGCTTAAATCGGTCTGGTCGGTCGGCTCCTTTTTCATCTTCTTTTCCTTTGTCATCATCCACAGCCTCGATATGGCGTTGCCACTGCCCCTACCCTTCCAACCCCAAGTCTCCTTTTTTTTCTCTTGCCCGTTTTCTTTTGTTCGGCTCGGTTTCTTGTTTTCTTTCTTCTATCCCATTTGATATCCCCCTGTGCTAGCTAGTTAGCCTTTGTCCCTTTTGTTTTATCTCAACTGGAAAGAAAGGAATTTTTTTTTTCTCATACTTATACCCTTCACTTTGTTCCAGTTCTTATCATCTCTCTTACCACCCATATCCTGCTATCCTCCCCCACCTCTCCTTATTCCTGACACCTCTCTGCCTGCCTGCCTGCCCGCCTGTCTCTCGTTCTTTCCTTTAGCAGGCAGGCAGGCAGGCAGATATGAGGAGAGGCAGGGGAGGATATGCCCTCAATAGATATCACAATATAAGATACTTTGATAGTTCTTAACTTGTTCAACTTTCTGGGTAGAGAAGAAGGTGGTAAAGTAGAGGAGAAAAGAAGAAGAAGAGAAGAAGAGAAAGAAGAAGAAGAAGAAATCTCCTCTTTTATAGACTGTCCTCTGTGTGAAAGTCGGCGACGCTTTGCATCCTATGACGACTTCTGCTATGGACAGCTTTTGACTGCTGCTACTTCTACTGTCACTAACTACTTTGGAGCCCTTTAGTAAAAATATCCAAAACATCAAACTATCCAAAGAATCTTAAGGTGGCTCTCTTGTCTTGTCTACTTATTCATCACTGGCTAATATGATTTCTTCTAGATATCTTATGGAGTTTGTGGTCGCCCTTGACAGCCGTATACATAAACAGGATGACGTAATCTGCTAGTTAGTTATGTAATAACCATCGGGCCGAGCCTTGTCACGTGAAAACTTAAAAGCAGTTCCTGAAAAGGCAAAAACTACGACTCGCAGTCTTTCTTTACGCTCCAACGACCATCACCTTCGGGCTTTCACTCATGATGGCGTCGACGTGGTGAGAGAGAATGTTGGTAGGTGAATGTATGCCATTGCTGTTGATTAGGCCGTTCGACTATTTACATGACCTGCTCCAGGAGGTGGAGAGATTGCATGACCTCCGTTCTATATACCCTATGACGCAGTTGAAGTCAACGATTTAGGCCGACTATCTCGAAAAACAATCTCAAAGTTTTTTCCTATAGTACAAACTGAGGATGCGGCGCTAAATATTCACTCCTGATTGAGTGAAGAAAATGAGGCTCTGGCTTTAGGTATTCATGGACAATCTTCATCTATGATGAATACGGACAGCTGGTAGTGTGTCTGTTAATCTGGAAATCCGCCTCCACTGGTTACACCTGATATCCAAGGGTAGTTTGGTGCGTGCTTGGGTGTCATGCCACAGCTAAATGATGATGAATAGTCTGCTGCGTGGTTTGATCTAGATAGATTCTCTAGTGACACCTTTGCTGCACAAAACTCCCACCATTTGGTACTTGGGTTCACTCTATGCAGGCCATTTCTGCGATTATAGAACTATAACCACATAGGTTGGACTTCATTAGCGGAGTTTAACGCTAATGAAGATGACATTGACACGCAGTGTTGGGTATTATCCTTGGGTCCCCCCAGATTGAGAAGGGAGCAACTCGGGATTGATCCCAATATTGAATATTGAAAGAAAAAAGGATACTGGCAAAGCATGGTAACAGACAGACATATTGCACTTCTGAGCGAGACACAACTTTCTGGAAGATAAACTGTGAGACTGACAAGTCACGCAATCTGCTTGTTAATAAAGACCCAATGCAATACCCGAAAAGCACCGAGGGAAGGTAAGGTATTTCCAGAAGCAACGGCTAGGGGTGAATGCAGGATATCTCCGTCCAATCCAAACTTGCAGACAGCTCATCCCCGTTTAATCGAGAGCGCCGCTGCCCCGTCTGAGACTACGGCAAATAATCAAGAGTAGCTCGAGAGCTACTCTTCTTGCAGGGCTGGCTGGTTGCATTGAGGGATATCTGGCTCTATGATAAGGCTGGCCTCATCTGCTACGAGATCTTCTCGTAGAACCTAATGGCGAACGAATACTAGCATGCACGAGAGCCTTCTAGTCGTGTGTTTATTAAGACAGCCTAGGATAAGAAATGCAAAAGTGATGATGTTAAGAAATGAATGGCAGCCGGCTGGTATAAAGAATAGATTGATAAGCGATGAGCAAGACTTTCTGCTTATTGCGACGCCTTCATGTCATGATATCTGTCCTATCGTCATCCGGCCACGCCGTCTCCTCCTCCCAGACCAAATCCCGACTCTTCATAAATAGAATGATTTGAGATAATTCTACGGATACCCGTTGCAGGCTAGCAGGCCCTCGCGACGACAATATGTATGACATTATGCACTTAATAATCAGTTTATAGCATGTAACACTAGCACACCCTCAAGGGCGATCTCCAAGCGCAAGGCCCACAGGGATGAGGAATATTAATTGCTGTTATCAGCTCGCGCAGGGTCTAGGCTGTCGTCTATTACTAATTCAACCAGCGCCTTAACTAAGCCCAAGCCCGGCAGGCCGCCAGCTAAGGCCCTTTAACTAACGCCGCCCGCCTCCAGTTAAGGCCTTTAACTAAACGGCGCCCCCAAAACAGCGCCCAGCTGCCGCCCAACCACCCGCCGACGCCTTAACTGAAGCCTGCCCTCCTCCCCCCTCCCCCCTTGCCCTCGCTCGGTTCCAGCTTTCTTTTTCTTCGGAACTTCTCCTTTTGCCTTTTTTTCCCTTTGCCTGCTCAGCTTCTCTGCGCTTCACACCATCTTCGCGGCCTCCCGTCTTAATAATTACCGTCTCAAGGGTCCCTCAGTGGCTCTCTCTCTCGCAGCGTCCATCCATCATCCATTATTCCCTCCGCCATGCCCGCATCAACGTCATCCCGGCTGCCCCTCCGCCTCGCCCTCGCCCGCCGCTTTAGCCCTCGCCCGGCCTCCTCCTCCTCCTCCTCCTTCTGCTGCTGGCCTTATTTAAGCCGCCCTGCCCTCCTCTCGTCCGCCTCTTCGCTCTCATCCACATCTGCACGACCACCGCTACAGACAACCACAGCTCCAGCTTCTACAAGACTCTTCTCCTCCTCCAGCGCAAGACTCTTCTCTCCCACAACCGCAAACATGGTCGTCCAAGAGATCAAGTCGTAGGTGTCTTCTCCTCTTGCCTCTCTCTTCTTGCTATCCTGCTCCTCCCTCTGCCCCTCCCCCGCTATCGTCACCAGTATATAGCATAACAATATGAGTGATAATGGTACCGATACTGATACTAACTGCTATCTTGCAGCCGTGATGACTACATGAAGGCTATCGGCGGCGACAGGCTCGTCCTGATTGACTGCTACGCCACCTGGTGCGGTCCCTGCAAGGCCATCGCCCCCGTCGTCGACAAGCTCAGCGAGGAGCACTGCGCGGAAGTCGATTTCTACAAGGTCGATGTCGATGAGTGCTCTGAGGTTGCTGCCGAGCTAGGCGTCAGAGCCATGCCTACTTTCTTCTTCTTCAAGGGCGGCGAGAAGCTCGACTCCGTTGCCGGTGCTGCTGAGGGACCCATCGTTGCTGCCCTCGCCCGACTCAAGTAAATAGATACTACACCATTCCTGCCTGTGTTGCAAGGTACATATACGCATATGAAAGTTGACAGTACTTGGATGCATGGATGGATGTTATGACGATTGTATTTTAAAGTGGACATCAAGGCATAAAGAGAATTAAGAGCCGACTCATTTCTCTTGACATTATTTTATTTGCATCATTCTGTTGTTCTTTGGTCTGCCATTACATGAAAAAAAGAGTAGGTATTGAAGCTGTGTTATCTCGTTGTTTTATTCATGGTATCATCATGTCCTCGTCCAAGTCATGTAGGTGTGTGTCTATCAAAAAAAAAAAAAA